GGGGACAGAGCAATGGGAAATGACTCACCAGTTGGCATCCTGCTACCTTTCTTGGAGAGCACCAATGCAGGGAATGTGGCTAGAAACTGGCCATCTCCTCAATCCTTGGAGAGCCAGATAAGCAGCTGGGGTTCAGTGTGGTGCTGTGGAATGCTGGCTTGAGTGAACCCATTTTTGAGGTTCAGTCTGTTCTGTTGGGGCACAAAGCAGAAGCCTGGTCCACAGTGTCAGCTTTCCATTGTTTCATTTTTACCTTAACAGTACTGAGAGCAGGCAAGCTGCAAGCATCCCCTGTCATTTCCAGTTCCTGAATCGGTGAATCATGTATGTGACCAGGCTGTCCAGCCACCCTCCTCACACTGAGGCCACAAAGTGTAGGAAACACGAGAAGCATTTGTGCTTTAAGGCCGCTAACAGGTCCATCTTTACTCCCTGTGTTCATTTTCTCTTGGCTTTATTTCTCATTACTTCAGCCTCTAACCCTGTGTGCATCACAGCAGCATAGGAATAAACCAGTAGATAGGCAGCACTATTGTGCCCTAAGACTGCCTTTCTCTCGTTTCTCTGATAGTTTGTATTGATAGTAAACTTTCTAGTGAAGTGGAGCTGAGCGCTTTGAGTTCTGACCACCCACCTGCTCTGAGTGCTAAGTGCTTTTACATGGATTATTTCATTGAGTTATCCTGAGAATTCTAATAATATGGCAGGCACTAGCCTCCTATTTTCAGATAGGGAAACTGAAGCTGAGCATTAAATGACCTGCCCAGGACCACCCAGCCAGTGAGAGGCAGGGCTGGGATTCGATCCTGGTTGGGTTCACTCCATAGTCACTTTACCCCCCTTTCATAGAGGCCATTTCTTAGATTCTCTGCAGAGTCCAGAAATGGGCTGCACTCATGGAGCCGGAGCTACTGACAGTCACAGCCACTCAGTGTGGCTTCAAGGGGCCAACCATGGGTCATCGGCAAGTGCAGTATGTGGTCTTTATTTTAAAAAATACATTTATTTTATGTATGTGCCTGAGTGTGTGTGTGTGTGAGTGTGTGTGTGTGTGTGTGTGTGTGTGTGTGTGTGTGTGTGTGTGTGTGTGTGCGTGCGTGTTATGTGCATGCAGGAGTCTGTGGAGACTAGAAAAGGCCATTGGATCCCTTGGAACTGAACTTAACAATTGTGAGCCATCATGTGTGTGCTGGGAATCAAACTCTGAAACTCTAGGAGATCAAAAGGTGCTCTTAACCACTAAGCCATCTCTCCAGCCCGAAGTATATGTTCTTAACAGCTCAGCCACCTCTGGCCTCTCTTCTTTAATTGATTTTGAGGTAGTGGGGATGGAACAACACAAGGCCCTTGGACATGGTAGACAAACATTCTACCACTGACCTATCTACTCTCACCTCCCTAAATTTTTTAATTACATTTATTTTAGAATTTCACATATGTATACTATATATATATATATATAATTTCCCCTCCATCTCCTTCCTCCACCCCCTCCCAAAACCTACCTCACCCTACTCGCTCTCAAATTCATAACCTCTTTTAAAATATTATCATTACACATATATACAGCCCAGGCTCACATTGAACTTACTATGTGCCCAGGTTGGCCTGAATCTCAAGATCCTCCTGCTTCGGGCTGGAGAGATGGCTCAGAGGTTAAGAACACTGGCTGATCAGGGAAATGCAACTCTGAGATACCATCTTACTCCTGTCAGAATGGCCAAAATCAAAAACACCAATGACAGTGTATGCTGGAGAGGATGTAGAGAAAGGGGACCCCCCCTCCCCTGCTGGTGGGAGTGCCAACTTGTGCAGCCACTGTGGAAATCAGTATGGCGACACCTCAAGAAAATGGGAATCAGTCTACCACAAGATCCAGCAATTCCACTTTTAGGCATATGCCCAAAAGAAGCACATTCATACAATAAGGACATCTGTTTAACAATGTTCATAGCAGCACTATTTGTAATAGCTAGAAACTGAAAGCAGCCTAGGTGCCCCTCAACCGAAGAATGGATAGAGAAAATGTGGTACATTTACACAATGGAGTACTACTCAGCAGAAAAAAACAATGGAATCTTGAAATTTACAGAAAAATGGATGGAACTAGAAGAAACCATTCTGAGTGAGGTAACTCAATCACAAGAAGACAAACATGGTATGTACTCACTCATATGTGGATTTTAGACATAGAGTAAAGGATT